CACACACACACACACACACACACACACACACACACACACACACACACGAGGTCTGTGACTGGCACCGCTCTCCTTCTAGAGTCTGGAATTAGACACATGCCAGGCAGGGATGCCTATGGGACCAGCTCCAAAGGACATCTGAGCACTGAATCTTGGACTCTGGTCCCTGGAAGACAGTATGTCACAGGTACCCTCACAGTTTGTTGCTGGGGATTAAGTGCATCCTGTGGCTACAACTGTAAGGACTATATGCATTTCTATCTTCCCCTGGGATATCACCCTATAGCTCCTTTGGTGGTTTGAATAAAAATAGGCTCAGAGGGTGTGGCACTATTGGAAGGTGTGGCCTTATTGGAGTAGGTGTGGCCATGTTGGAGGAAGTGTCTCACTGGGGGTGTGCTTTGAAGTTTCAAATGTTCAAGCCAGGCCCAGCATCACTATCTCTTCTTGCTGCCTGAGAATCCGGATGTAGAACTTCTCCAGCACCATGACTGTGTACATGTCACCATGCTTTCTGCCATGACAATTGTCTGAACACAGTCAAAAGAATAACACATAGCGAACAATGCCTGGGGGAACTGTGAGAGAAGTGTCAAGAAAAAAAAGGCCTTTTATCTCAAGTGTGGTTTGTTTCCCTGGATTGTTCTTGGACATGGTTCCTGTCTTCTGTGACATACATTTGCATTCAGTTTGTAAGACATGTTTACTTCTGTTGGATGTCGGAACATAGCTGTAGAATTCAATCTGGCAAAAGGATATACTGAGTGCTGTTCTCAGTGTGCCATAAATCTGGATATGGCCTTCTGCCTTGCTTTCATGCTTTCCCAGACATAGTCTATAGTACGTGCCAGAGAATTGTGTTTAAATTTGTCTATCCTGAGAAAGTTCTGAGAAAAGGCTGCTCTGTTAAGTGGCATTTAAATGTTTTTATGGTGATTTTTTTTTTCTGAACCTTCCTTGGATCATTGCTTTCTCTGTTACACCCATGTATAAAAGTGCACTGTATAGTTGCCTAAGACATTAGACTGTAGTCTGCCCCATTCTTTAAGGTCTTCAAATCCCAGGTCCCACAGACAGACCTACACAGGTCAGTGAAAGTAGACAAACAATAATAGACTAAACCCCCTAACTTTGTAAGCAAGCCGCAATTAAATGCTGTCCTTTATAAGAGTTGCTGTGGTCCTGGTCTCTCTTCACAGCAATAAAAACCTACCTAAGACACTCTTGCTGCTGCTGCTGCTGCTCCTGCTGCTTCCTCTTGTCATTTTGCCATTGTAAGTCACAGTCTTGATATAATTGTACTGAATCTACACTGGTTATTGAGCCTTGTTTGGTCATGGGACTTCAGACATACTCACTGTGACATGTGAGTCACGGTGTTGTGTGTGCTAGTAAAGCTCCCCATCCTAGACTCAGAGCTAACAGAAGCATGGGGCTGAGGTAGAAAGAGACTCTCCAAAGAAAAATCAGCATCCTATTCACAGCACAGCAGTCCCTGGTGACCACTGGGATTCTGTGGTGTGTGTGAGCTGCAAATGAGGGAAGGTGTAGAAGTGTTTACATATGCGTTTATGTGGTTTAAGTTTATGTAAATGTGTAAGGACAAGTGTGGGGGGGGTGCATGTGTGTGTGCCTGTGTATATGTGAATGGGGAAAACATGCGTCAATAAAGGTGCTGTTACTATGTGCGTTGTTGAATGCCAGTGTGAAAGTGAGTGAGCATGTGTGCACTTATGTATATAGAAACACCCAGGGAGGGGCATGAGTCCTCTTAGAACTTTACAAAAACCAGTACACAATGCAGCCATCTGGGTGACAACAGAGCTCTTTACATGGACACTCAGATATTCTGGCAGGAATTGTTCCAAAGCTGGTAGTAGTTCGCCCAGGGCACGGTGTATATCAGTGATGTGCAAACCAGGCTCTGTGGACGAAGAAAACACAAGATAATCAGCTTTGGAAAAAATAGTTTTTAAAAGTGGAAAAAAATAGGTTACTGCTCCTCAGGTCCTGGGGACCCAAAAAGAAACTGTCACACTGAGACCCATGGCAGGTGCCTCTGGAGCCCTCATTGTAGGCAGGACCTAGGAATCCAGGAAGGAATAACCGACCCTCCGTCCTCTCCTACCCCTGTACCTACACCTTGGGACCAAAAGGCCCTTGTATCTACCATCTGACCCATGAGGGACCCAGCTACATAGAAAGGGACAGAAGAACTAAGAAGACACAGAAGAGATGGGACAGTCTTTGGTGACCCAGAGAATGAAAGCAAGATCATAACAAGGGTCCTGAGAAGCAAATAACACTTGCACCCTAGGGCTCTATGGGAAGAAACAGAGGCCTAGGTCCAGGGCTGTTCCTGCTTGCTTGGCCACACTGCCCAAACAAACAGCTGTCTTCCTTCTTGGATGCCCCAAGAAGCGTCAGGTAGCCCTGAGGATGGGAATCTGCTGGCCCAGACTCTCGGGCTTTGAGGATGTCCACTCCCCATCCTTGGCCTTGAGGCTCTCTCGGACTCCCAGCACACACCTTTTTCAGCTTGCTGCTTTGCAGAGGACATGAAGATGTCTTCCTTCCATTTTTCTTACATTTAGTCCTGCCAATCTTCACAGTGACCAAATACTCCACTCCCGTGGTCAGCTGCAGAGAAGCAATTAATTGCATTTCTAATTTCCACTCTAATTTCCACAGTGTCCAGTGGCTGGCCCTCTCCAGGAGGAACTAAGCCATGACCCCTGTTCCCAGAACTCATCCACCAAAACTCAGCTCCCTCCTCCCCTCCCACTGAGTGGGTCTCAGTGGGAGCTGAGGTCCCTGGTCAGCCACAACCCTATGCTCTAGACTTTGCTGCACTGGCCACAGCAGTAGTGCCTTTTCCTTGTCTCCTATCCATCTTCATGACAAGACAAGCTGCGTTGTCTGGTAACCACAGACCACAGACCAATATGGTCCTCATATTGCAACGAGCTACATGGCCCTATTCCTTCCCAGCCTGTACAGCCATCTTCTCCCCCTTTACTCTCCCTCCCAGCCAACCAGAAAGTAGACAATTTAACAACACATGTGAATATGGGTTAGAGAGATTGCTCAGCAGTTAAAAGGGCTTGTTGCTCTAGCAGAGGATCAAGGTTTGTTCCGCAGACCCCTTGTGGTAGTATACAACCACTTCTAATTCCAGTTTCTAAGGGTCCAAACCCCTCTGCCGGTCTTCGCAAGAACTGTGTGTCTGTGGTACACTTACACACATATATACTTGAAAGCAAAATACTCATACACATAAAAATATAAATCTTTAAAAAACATATAGTTTGGGAGTCAAATTGATTCTAGGCACACATTTCCCGTGTGTTAGCTCTGAAACTTTGAGAAAATAACTCAGCAGCCTCCATTTGCAAGGTCCACAGAAGCAATCCATCCGCTTGTGAAGCCTGTGGGCACAACAGAAGCACTTCCACTAATGCATCAAACCCAACCTATTGTAACTTGTTTCCTCCCAATCGAAACACTCCCTCTGGAGAGTGGAGGGTGGCTTATGAGATTCAGGAGTCAAATGGAACAAGATTGTAAGGCCTCCTACCCAAGGTCGTTGAGGATACTTTTGGGCTATCTGAGCCACCTGCAGGAACTTCTGCGATGCTGTTGTCACCCTGAGAATCCCCCTTGCTGGGGTGGGCTTTTTGGTGATGAGGCTGCTATTGAATCACCATGCTCCTTTATGGATTGCCTATAAACTCACTGAGAAAGTAAGCTAGACTTGGTTGGAATCATTGCTTTGGTGTGTTGTTGGTGCTCTGTCTGTGGTAAATAGATGCTTGTTGTTAAAGTCTCCCCAGGAAAAGCTAAACAAATGCTATCTTCAGAATTTTTAAGTTACTAAATGTTTCTGCCAAGTGTGTGTAGCAGCTACAAAATTAGGAGACCCAAAAACAGAAGAATGGCATGTGTTGAAGATCTTGCTTTATCTCCCAGGACCTTTCCACTTGAAATGATAACCCTTCCCCTGCCCCGTGCCCTGACTCTGTTTCCTCCAGGGGCAGTGGACAGTGCAAGGCAAAGATGTGCTGGTCAGGTAAGCCACAGACAACACAGTAAGGGCCAGCTCCTGTGGGCACCTTTGTCTTCTGTTTCTCACAATCAAGCCTAAAGCTATGAAGACTAAGAAGAGAAAGTCCAGGGAAGCTTTTGTGGAAGAGAAGCCCCACACACAGGGTGAAATGCTAAGGAAATTTGGTAGCTATCATCCCAGGTCTGGCTTCCCAGATAAATGTGTAAATCAGAGTGTAGTGGGGAGAAGGTCGTGGGGGCCCCCTGCTTCTTTTCCAAATGCCAGCAGTCCAACCTAATGAGGAGAGATGCAGGCAGAAAATTCATCTTAATCCTGATTGAAAGGTTCCCATAGAAAGTCTAAGGCCAGGCCCCAGAGCAATTTCCCAGAGCTGCACTGAGAATACAATGTCAGCACTAGCCTAGGACCCCTTAGAGTGAGGGTGCCCGTCTGCTGTCATCAATGGGCCGTTCTACTTGTTCATGAGGCTGTTGTAGAGCTGTCACACTGACTGGCCATCAGCAAGTTGCGTGTAGGAAAAGACTAAAACACGCATGCACATTAAACTTCTTACTACTAGTCTTGATTGTTCACTTAGAATACAGTCATAGTAACAGCAAATATTTTCACAAGCACCACTAGGTGGCAGATTTGTGCTAACCTGGCACTGTTCTGACCCACTTTGTGGGTGAAGAAGCAGAGTCTAGCTAACACCTAACCAAGATCCCATCGCTGGGAAGAGATGAAAGTCGAAAGCAGGCCCACCAGACCCCCCCCCCGTGCTTGTCTACTTCCCCCTCTTTGAAGTGCTGAGACTTTCAGAGTCATATCTGGATGTTGAGATGTCTAGGAACCTGTGTCATGATCCTCCCCTTTCGAGCCGCAGTTAACTGTTAATGATAGAAGGTTGGTTTCACATGTTAAATCTTGGCATCTTAAACTGTATCTTCAACTGTAGTTTAAGGAAATTGATCCAAGTGAAAAAGACAAGTGAGAACAGCGCCACCTTTTGGTCATAGAGCACAATAGCCAAGAATCCCCTGGAACCCACTGGCCTATCACACTAACATTACCCACCCCACTCTTACACCGCCCCCGTCTTGCTGTTAACTCCTGTTCCATCTGCCTCCCACTCTCTCTGACTAGCAGTCTTTGCCCTAGTGAATTATTTCTCCCCAAATCTGTCTAACTAGTGTGCAGCATTGTTCCTGATTTACATATGTTACTATCTGAACTTGAGGGAACACTGGATCAATAGTTTTCAAACAAATGCTTGCCTCTACCGTCTTTCCACTGGCATAATTCACAAGAATGTTGTGTGCAAAACAAAGAAAAAGAAGGTGCGGTGGCACACGTGTGTAAAGCAAGCACTCACACTCTGAAGGCTATAGCAGAAGGCTAAGGGTGGAGAGGTACAGGCCAGCCAGGGCTAAAGATAGAGACTTCTTCTCAGAAGTGGTGGAGCTCATCTGAGTGAAGCCGCTTGCCCATCCCCTGCTGCCTTCCCACTGCTATTACCAGAGGCTTGTGGTTCTAAATGTCTCAGACAGAAAATTCAGTCCTAATTTACAGTCCTGGACAGGGGGGGAAATGCTGTTGGAAGTAAGGAATCTCCAGAGAGTATTTAGGTTTTTGCCAGATAATACCATGAAGAAAAAAAAAAAAAAAAGACAGTGCATTGTGGCCCTCTGGTAGGCAACAAGAAATGCAATTCCTCCCATAGAACAATGGAGAACCACTCCACGTCAGCTTTTGGCCAAGAAGGGAGCTTGGGTTGGCTCCAGGGCTTAGGCCAGCCTAGGTCACGTGCTTGTACTGATCAAGGTTGCTGCTTAGCTCAGAGGCATCATGTACACCCAGCTCATGTGAAGCTCCCCAAGGAGTTTTCAATGCTTGGTTATCCCAGAATCCCAGTCAGAATCCCCATATGTCTAAAAAAGCAAAATGGGGCTTATGCTGATGACCAGGAAACCAAGGCACAAACCTGCACCTGACTTTGAATTAGCTTCTGAACTTGAAACAAGTAGGTGTCATTGCTTAAGTTGTTGTAGGTCTGGATGAAGAAATGGAGTGTAGAGTTCATGTTTTTCTTGCTCGTGGCCTTCTCCTTGAATCCGCCCCACCTCTGGACGTGATTCAGCTTGGCCGTTACAACTACAATCACCAGCAACAGCAGCAAGGCGATCCTCAGGCCTCTGACCTTCATCTCCATGGCTTCAGAAGGCACTTATCTGTAGCGTTGCCAGAGTAGGAGTACAGCAACAGTCCTCTCTTCCACGGAAGTCTCGCCAGCACAGGCTTCCTGGGAGACAGCGTCACCTGCATGTAAGCAGAAGTTAAGACTCCAAGTCCATTCTCCCAAGGTGCTAAGAACACTATGTATGGAAAGCTTCCCAAACACAACTCCCCAGCAGTGTTTCTCCCACTTGCAATGGTCATTCTGTTCTTTGGCAATCCACATAAGGAGATCCCTCTGTGCACCTGCCAAGCCATGAGAGCCCCATCCTTTCCTGCACATGTAGTGGGAAAGAATCCTCGAGAGCAGACTTCAGAGCTCTGCAATAAAAGCTGCACTATGTACGGAATGGATGAAAATTTATAGAGTGAGTCATATTTGAACTGAGACAGAGAAACCAACCATATGAAAGCTGCAGGAAGACATTCCACCATCTTACCGGCAAGTCATCAGCATCTCCTTCAGTTCCTCAGCCAGGTGCCCCTTACTCACCTGCCTCCCCACCTGGCACAGATTTCTCTCTGCTGTTTCCCACTGCACAGGCAGGTTCACCTGGTCTTCCTTGTAATCCTGTTGTGACCCAGCAGAGCTTTGTGAGGTAACCTCAAGATCCCCATATGAAATCAGTCAGGAGCCTTGCTCAGAAATCATCCCTGAAGGGCACCACCTGTTTGTAGAAGCTCATTACAGTACCCATTTTTTTTTTTTTTTTTGGCTCTGGGAAAGGAATAATAGTAAGAGAATCCGAGAAATCTGGGAGTAGAGAGATGGCAAAGTGCCAGTGTGAGGACCTGAGTCCAGATCCTCAGCATCCACATAAAAGCCAGATTTGGTCGTGAACATCTGTAACCCCTGTGCTGGGAAGCAAAGCTGGGTGGGTCGCAGGGCCTCACAGTCAGTCAGTACAGCCAAAATGCTAAGTTGCAGGTTCATGAGAAACCCAGTCCCCAAAAATAAGGTGGAGAGTAATATCATATGCAGGTTCATGAGAAACCCAGTCCCCAAAAATAAGGTGGAGAGTAATATCATAAGACATCTCAGCAGCAACCTCTGGCCTTCATACACACCTGCCTGCACCAACACACCGCACACACACCGCACACATACCACGGCCTGAGTGTTGTGTAGGGATTGTATTATAAACTGCTAACTTCTTTGTTTTACTGGATTATGTCAATGTTTGGGAAGGTTAAAGGCCTAGGACAAGTTTTGAGGTTTTTTTTTTTTTTTCAGCCTCTTCATAAGACTCATACATCAAATAAACAAACATTCAAAACTAGTGAGAAGCAGAGTGATATGGGAGACAACACACATGTCGTATTATCCAACTGTACTGTGGAGACCCTGGACTAGTTAAGATCCCTGAGCCTTGATTTTTTTCATCTCCCTATAATATGAATCTTTTTTGAAACGGTCTCATTATGTAGTCCTGGCTGGCCCGAAGCTTACAGAGATCCCCTTGACTCTGCCTCCTGAATACTGGGAATAAAGGTATGTATTACCACATCTGACATCCCTATAATATGAAAATGAATGGAGACAAGGAAGTTGTTCTTATGTCTAGCATTGGTGATTTCTCAAGAACATCTGTGTGATTCTTCCCTGGCTGTGATTCATATTCTGGAGACACTGTCTGATGATCCCCGAGCCCTAGTTCAAGCTCTCCTTCACTGTGACAGTTGACAGTGCTGCTGGGAAACATCACAGCATCTATATTGTGGTCAGCAGAGTCGTGGAATCTGTGCAGCTCTGGAAATGGACTCTTTGTAACACTAGTGGGTCAGCGGAGGTCCCTGTAGAGTAGGTGCCTCACTGTACCCTAATTCCTACCTTTCCCCTCTGTAGTACATTTGTAAATGGCTTGCAGTGAGCTCTACTACTGGGGGTGGGGTGACGGGTTCTGCTTATGGGCAATTCAACAAACTCTATTAATTAACCTAAATATAGCCAACCAAAATAATGTCACTCTGGATTGCTATGTGAAAAGTGACAAGGTGTATGAAACATTCTGCTTCACAGAACTTGGGGCATACAGAGACTCAACCACCATCCAAAGAGCATTCTTGGGATGGCACTAGAGCCCCTACACACATGTAATAGAAGTGAATCTTGGTCTTCACGTGGGACCCCTAACAGCAGGAACAGGGGCAGTCTCTGACTCTGTTGCCTACCTGTGAATCCTTTCCCCTAACTAGACTGCCTTATCTAGCCTTGATAGAGGAAGATGCACATAGTCCTATAAGAACCTGATATGTCAAGGTGGGTTGATATCCATGGGAGGCCTTCCCATCGCAGAGGAGAAAGGGAAGGGGAGGTGTGGGGAAGGTATGGAAGAGGGAGGAACTGGAAAGGAAGGAAGGAGGAGAAGCTGTGATCAGGATGTAAAGTAAATAACAATAACAACAACAATAATAATAATAAACTAATGAGCCATCTCTCCAGCCCTGGGGCTCAGTAGTCCTCTGCTGAGCCAGTATGTGTCAACACTGTACAATAAAACTGTTCCTGACTCATATCAGTTTGGGCATCTTGTTTTCTGATCTAGTTTTCCCCAAACAATACCAGAAAGATCTATGGTATAAGGAAGAAACCAGTATTTATTTAAACAATGAAATAAAGGAGAAATAACTGGACTAATTATATCAGTGGAATATAGAATAAATGGGCAGTGTTTTAGTGTTCAAGAACTAAGGAGATATTGAGTGACAATATGTCCAGGATATGTGGGTATCACAGACATTATATTTTTGGAATAAAGATAAACTAGATATCCTAGTCACAATCATAAATATGAAAAATATCATAAACATGACCTTCAGTTATGGAGAAAATAAGAAAACAGAAATACAACACAATGAGAAATAAGGATAAAAGAAGGAAGTAAGGAGCCTGGTCACATTCTTGAAATGAAGGCAAAAAAGGGATTTGTTTGTCTTTGCAGATTGGAAAATTGGATTCTTGATTATAGCTGTGAAGTAAGCAGAGTATGATGGTCTGGTTCCACCCAGGAAGAAAAAGCAGCACCCAGACTGGTCATATCCAATCAGCTGTGGAGATTGTTTTAAAAGTTTGGTCATATACAAAGGAAAGGAAAAATCAGGTTCTCTTCGTGTCATGAAAATGGAATTAAAATTCCTCCTAACTTTATAGGTTATAGGGAAGGTGGGGAATTGGGAATTTCATAGACTAAGGAGCACATAGAGGAGCCTTGCTGGTCCATGGCAAAAGAGAAAAAAATGCACTTTAGCTGGGTACATTTAAGGAGGCAACTACAGGGACCTTGGTCTTGTCTGTAAGACATCAGAAAAATCCTAGTTAAATACATGGGATGGGATGAGGCATAACTGAGTAGATGCATGTATAGAAAACATTTGAGGGCTGGAGAGATGGCTCATTGGTTAAGAGCACTGTCTGCTCTTCCAAAGGTTCATGAGTTCAATTCCCAGCAACCACATGGTGGCTCACAACCATCTATAATGTGAACTGATTCCTTCTTCTGGCAGATGTAAATGCAGATAGAACACTCATACACATAAAATAAATAAATCTTTAAAAAAAAAAAGAAAACATTTGAGCCTTACATTGTTTATGAAACAGGGAAAATTGTAAGATTTGAGTATTTGCATGGAAGATAGAAATTTTAGATGTCTGAAGAAGATGGAGACTGGAAACATGGGTACATATATGGAACAAGAGGAAAGTCATGTCAACGGATTAAAGAATAGAACAGCAGACAATGTTGGATCTGGTTATACATGGAGAAGGAGAGGGTAGAGAGAAAAATTGTTATGAAGAAGAGAAACCTTAGATGGCAGACATGTTTATTGGGTGGATTTCAGTGAGTGATTGATGATTCTGCAAGTGGACACAAGTTTTAAACTTCAAATTGTTCCCTATAAATAGATGGAATTATTTGTCAATCACACTTTGAAATGTGGTTTGGATGGATGGGTGTATAAATAAATGGACGCAAGACAGATGAATGAATAGATGGATGGTTGGGGGGTGGATAGGTAGGTAAATGGCTAGGTGACTAGATTAAAGACACTACCCAGAATACTATGGAATAGGCAGTCAGTCTGATGACCCTTCTAGCCACCGCTATGCTTCTTTTCATGACCTCTGCCTATGACACTAAGGGAAAAAAGACTGCCCTTAGCCAAAGCCACAAGAAAAAGGCTGAAACATGCACCATAACCTTACCCACCTGTACACAGGCCACCTACCTTATCATTTGCTGTTATACCATAAGACAGAGAGCTTCTATGGTAGTTATCTCTCTCTCTTATAAAAGGATGTTCCCCCACATGCTCAGCAAATTTGGCCTCCTGTCTGATGAACTAAATTTGGTGACCTAGCCCCTGACAGATCAGTCACACCCTGCAGGTAAGTGGAATTCATCTGAGATCTGCCTGAGGCTGAGTGATGTTTAGGTCCCTGGAGATCCTTGCATGAGCTTCACTACTTCCTAGTTTTGCATGTTGACATCAAGGCTTGAGCTTCGTCTGTCCAGGTCCCAGAAGAAAACAAGAAAGAAATAGACAGAAAAATAACACGCTTTATCACCACAGGCAGTATGCTCTGCTGAGTGGGCTGAGCAGTCTGCAGACAGGGGTGTTTCCTGGCTGTAACTTTTAGTCATCGCTTCTCCTATTCTGTCCTTCTTATCACTGCTGCTCTTCCTTCACACTGTTCCCCACCCACACAGACCATTGCTCATGGTGTTCCAACCCTCACTGAAAACCTGAAGTGGAGTGCCCTTGCTCCAGAATGAGGCCAACTAGCAAATGCCAAGGATGCCACCAAGGACAATGGGCATGTTCCAGGCTAGGCAACAGGATAGACCACATCCTGACCAGGCAGCCCTGCTTTGATATTTAGACTTGTTAGTCCTGATGTCAGTTGAGAAACCCTGGAAGGTGCAGGAGGGCTGCTAAAAACGGCATAAGAGTAAGAAAAAAAGCAGCCTTTTCATT